TACATCATTAGAAATTGAACAAAAAAAAATCGAAGCTGAAAAATTTAGTCAACAAATTGATCGAACAAGAGAATTATATCGACCAACAGCTATTCGTGCATGTATTATTTATTTTATTATCAATGATTTATCTAAAATTCATCCGATGTATCAATTTTCTTTGAAAGCATTTCGATCAGTTTTTCTTAAAGCTATTGATTATGCTGAACAAAGTGAAGATTTACGTATTCGAATAGATAATCTTATTGATGCTATTACATTTGCTTCATATTCATATATTGTTCGAGGTCTTTTTGAAGAACATAAACTTATTTTTACTATACAATTATTATTACAGGTTAATAAGAATAATTTAATTAGGAATACACTGAACCTGAACAAGTCGGATTCAGTTTTGACTACAATCATTTTTAGTCAATTAATAAAAGGAAGCGTAAGCAATTCAAAAGAAAGAATTCCAAAATTTTCTATAGTTAATCTACATACAGTAGAATAAACCACCCTAAAACTGAACGTCTGCAAAAATATGAAAAAAGTCAACAATGTTTAAATACACTCGAGTCCGAACTCTACAGTCGAACTTAAACCGTTCGTCCAGAACATTGATCAGAGTGCATGTCTAAATCTGCCTGATAGAAATATTTATTTATTTATTTATTTATTTATTTATTGAAATAGATCTTAACAGAAAAGGGTGAAATCGACATGGTTGAACTTGATTTATTATTACGAAATCCTCAAGAAGCACATGCCGGAAGTCCTGTGGAATTTCTTAATGAAAAAGCTTGGGGAAGTATAAAAGCTTTATCATTACTACAGATTTTTCATGGACTTGATCGTGATATTGAAACATCGAGTAAACGATGGAAAAAATATGTTGAAAGTGAAGCACCTGAATTAGAAAAACCTCCAGTAAATAAAATGAATAAATTTTATTTTTTATTTCATATTTCTAAATTTTCTTTTCAGGGAGAATGGAAAAGTAAATCAACAATGCAACATTTATGTATTCTTCGTGCTGTTCGACCTGATCGAATGCTTTATGCATTAAAGTATATTGAAATTATTCACTCATTATAGTATTTTCTAAATATGGCTTTTCTGTTTTGAAAAGATTATTTATTGCTGAAAAACTTGGTAAAAAATATATTGAAAGTCGTACACCAGATTTTTCTCGTACTTATGAAGAATCATCAAAATCAATACCAATGTTTTTTATTCTTTCACCTGGTGTTGATCCATTAAAAGAAGTTGAAACATTAGGCAAAAAATTAGGTTATACATCACAAGCAGGAAAATTTTATAATATTTCATTGGGACAAGGTCAAGAAATAGTAGCTGAAAATGCATTAGAAATATCAGCGAAAGAAGGTCATTGGATTGTCTTACAAAATATTCATTTAGTACGACATTGGTTGCCAATATTAGAAAGAAAATTAGAACGAATATTAGAAACTGGACAGGAAAATTTTCGACTTTTTATGTCAGCCGAACCAAGTGCAGATTTTAGTACACATGTTATACCACAAGGAATTTTAGAAAATTCCATTAAAATTACTAACGAATCACATACAGGTAAGAATTAAT